TCCGATCCAGTTATTGAACCTAAACTTTGGGCCAAAATTCCCAGCCTAACTCGGTCGGAACGAACAACTTTGTTCATCTGCAGAATGGAATTGCAGTCAGACATGGACCGACCTTGTGACTGTAGCGCAAGAAACATTCGCTGTGAACAGAAAACTTGTAATATTCCATATTCCAGAAAACTTATTCCATAAAAAAATTAAAAAACTAAAAATTCCATATAATTACAAATTCCATACAAAATAATTCCATAATTATTTGAAAACTGATGATGTATCCAACTGCTGGTATTTTATGGAACAGGGTGACTAAAAAAAGTGGTGACTAAAATAAGTTGTATAAGTAAAGGCTCATAACTCGAAAAGTATTAAACGTATAAAGATAAAAAACATGAAAGAGTATAACTTCAAGTTTTATTCAGATTACAATAAATGTTCTCCTCGCTGTTGAATACACAGCTCAATACGTTTTTCAAAATTTGCGGTTACTGCAAATAAGGTATTCCAGTCAATAAGTGCGAGGCCTTCACGAATTGCTATCTTCAGATTGTCAATGATGCTTGGTCTTGTACTGAATACGTTTTATTTCACGTAACTCCATAGGAAGAAATCCAAAGGCGATTCATTAATTATTCTTTCTTCAATCATGGCAATGTTTTCTTCTGATCTTCCAGGTCTTCGCCTTCCAGAATGACCTTTGTTTTGATTCAAGATCGTTCCTTTATCTTTCCACTGACGTATCCGTTTCTTGATTGTGTTGAGACTAACTTCTTGTCTGTATTTGGTGAAATAACCTCTCTTTATTTTGGTTGGTGAAGTTTTCAGGTAAAATTGTTCGACAATGAAAACTCGTGGCTCAGAATTTAGCTGCATTTTAGGGGGAATTTGGATCTTAAAAAATAATGAGTTTCGTCTTTCTACGTTTAATACTTTTCGAGTTATAAGCCTTTACTTAAAGCAACTTTTTTCTGGGTCACCCTGTATATCTATAAATAAAGTAAATTTTTTTCTTACAATAATTAAGGCTTGATGTAGCTACCCTCGTTGTCCCCTGCCTGCTAGACAAAATTTGACTGCGACAAATTAGATCGTACATTTTTTAGAAGTTTGATCCGTTCGAGGAAAAATTAATTTATTTTCCTTACTCACCACCCACGCCAAATCAAAATAATTTAAAGAATAATTTAAATTATGTATTAAACAACAATACAATGGTAGGCTTATTCTTATGAAATGAAGACCATGCATGGTCTTTCATTTTTCAAATGAATAGACCATGTGATTACCACCTGACGCTAGACAAGCAATCAGTATACATTTTCAAATCTGCTCCGCACCTGCGTTGTAATGAAGTCTAAAGAAAATTAGACGCGAAATCTTAGACCGGTCGGTGGTGCCTTCGTCAGTACCATTTCAATCAGATGATTAAATTTAAAAAAAAAAAGATCGTCGATATTGAATGTTGCAATTCTTTAAACATCAAAGCGCCGAATTAAACTCAAGAACCTTGAGATAGACATTCTGTACAAAAGTTAAAGTCAAGGAGTAATTTCACTTAATACTTTTTCGTGGCTAGTTAATTGCTAAATACATTTATGGTACGAAATAGTGAGTTTCTCAAGTGTGCCATACTAGTGTTCACCAGAAAAATACGATGCTGCTGTACGAAGTTTTTATGAACATATACAACAAATATTGTTGTTATTATATTTTAGACATTGTATTTAAGACATTGTATTGTTAGCTATATTCTTGAAAAATCAAAACTTTCATAAAACAAATAACTTTGGACTAAAACTCCGTGGATTTGTTTGTGTCGTAATCTTAGTGTGATTATGAAACTGAACTTAACTAAAATTTCGTTAATTAATCAACTCAATGGACTTTGCACGCAAAATCGCATTAATGAGATCTTGACACTCACGATTAAGTTGTGGCTGCTATCCGTGCATTTGCAACAAAGGAAAATTAAATATCAACCTCTAGCAAACACAACTAAAGTTGTGTTTGCTAGAGGTTGATATTTAATTAAAAAATTTAAAAAAAAATGGCCTTTAAAAAATTAACGAAACTCTTGGGCGCATCATGGCAAAACTAATGCAATGCCAGTTAAGATTTTTTTTAGTATATGAAATTGAAGCTTATTGAATAGTACAAAATTTCAGTCTTCTACGATTTTGTATTCAATATCGCTCCCTCGAAATAACCGAAGTAAATTTTTGTTAAAAAAACTCAATCCTTTACTATACGTAGTACGATACCTGTCATTTTCAAGACGTCTTAATAACAATACAGCGATGAAGATCAGACTCGCAGTGAAGATGATACAGCCTTGGATGCGATATCGAACTACTGGATGGCGGGGGCGGCAGCGCCAGACTGTGGGGAAGTCGAACGGCGCAGCGTCTGCTGTTGCGGTGCAGTTCGACGATCGTGTATGTTCCTTACTCATCGTCAGCAACAGATGACTCGATGATGTGAACCCGTAAGATATGTCAGAAAAAAGTGGGTCGACGAAATATTGGGAGAAACAGATGTTGATTTTTCACAGTTACTATATAGCATAACGCTATATATGCGCAAGTACTGAACGGAAAAATGTATTAGATTATTAGTACCTACCCTTTCCCGCAACTTATTCAACAAATAAGACGTGAAAAATATATTGTATCCAGAATTTTCCCCCTTTCACCTTAAAAACTCACTCATTTTTTTCAGTATAATTAATCCCGAAAATTTCGTTATGAAATATATAAATCACATACCTTCGAAGTTTTTAGAACTTATACTCGCTCTTAGAGCCGGCGTGATGCGTGATACCTGCGCTAAACACGATAAGGAAGCTGCAGATATTCATGTAGCAGACCAAACACCGACCGTGTGATAACTATTCATAAGATATCGACTGCTATCCGCAATTAGAAAATATGGTACCATGCAGGCAAGACATGATCCTTGCGATAGATTTACGTTACATGGTATTTATTGCATAACTCATTTCATCAACGGGCCAATCAATACCTTATGAACATTCAAAATATCCTCGAACATTGAGGAAAGTTTGTTGGGTGGATATCTTTTTTACCTAATCCACCTCATTAAAAGTAGCAGGAGTCGTCTACAAAATGGAAAAGATCAAAGCGTATCTGGTAAGTAGGATGATGAGTTTAATTTAGATTGTTCTTCTGCTGCTTTCTAAGACGGTTCATATATCAAGTACCTACAAAATTAAAGCATAGAAATAAACATTAAAATCCAGCCAAGTATGGAATTCTTTAAAAATTATCCACACGACCAGCATTTCGTATAAAATAAGACTTGCGTAGTTGTTGAGAATCGAACCCCTAGTAAAACCAAAAAACCCTAGTTTTTTTCCCTAGGAGCAAAGATTGAATACTTCTCCTTGATTATCGGATAAAGAAAGAAAAAAGTCTCATACAAATTGCAGATAATTAGACGTGACCTCGATCCAAAAATTTGGGATACGTATACTCAAAATGATTATCGATTTTGATTGGTAATTTTTTAACGCAAATTTTTTGCCAACAACACACCATAATATCCGAAAACAGGAAAATTGTTTTTGTGAAATTAATTTCCTTATCAATTTGGCAATCAGTAAGTGTAATCGTTCAAAACTAGCTGAAGTACCATTATTAGAATACATTTAGTTATTATTATTTTGTTGTTAGACCATCCAATCTTGAATTTTTTATCGAACAAATAATTGAGCACGTGTGGCATCAACTCAAGCATAATCAAAATCAGTGCCATGACATCTTATTGTGAAGAAAGTCGATAAGAGGTCATGCAAAGTATGTTGTTTGATTTTCTCGCTTCTCCCCGAACATTGAGAGATTATTAAGGGTGAATTTCAAAACTCAAATGATGTTCAATCGTTTGTTCATTCCACTGAAATACATACAATGAATATTTGTTCCCCGAAAATCTATATTTTTTTCATTTTCATTTACCTCACTCAATTTTCAACGCGTTATATAATTTTCAATAATGATTGCTAAAACATCGTTAGGCAACGGCTGCGTAGTATCAGTTGTTGTTATCTTTTTGTAATCAAGATAAAGCTCTTCGACGACCTCATAATGTCCGCGGATTGAGTGCAGGGACACTAAAGAGAGTCCAGCCCTTGTGCGAGATAAACTGCACCTAAGCAGCCTGCACTGAAAACCTGCAAAATCAAATAAATTTTTTACAAGTAATTTAATCCGAGCCCTGAATATTTGCGCTTACAAATCGAGCTTTGTCTTTCTATTTTTCTTGTAGAATTTTCGACAATATTTTAACGATGTTTAATAAATTGAGTTGATGTTTCCAGAAACGGGTTTTTCGTGTGGTTTATTAATTTAGAGAAAAAGTTATAAGATGACAGAAATAACGTCCAACTCTTCCCAAGGCTCTGACGATGGGGACAACTCAAGGTACAATGATAATTGAATCGCATGTTTTTTTTGTAATTTTGAGTATGAATGATAATTTAATTGTGCATTGTATTTTCCTACGGATGTTTCGTACATCTTATTTCTATCGCCAACAGCTTAATGGCTCCCATTCATTAATTGGAGGCAAAATGCGTACAGTTGAAAATTCTAATCTGGTCGATATTCCGCGTGGGAACATCCGAATATGGTACTAAGAAGATAAACGAATGGTTTAAAAATAATCTTATTAATGAGCCTTTATTTTGTTCAAAATATTCTACCAAATTCATTAAGTAGCTATAAAGTTTTTTTTATCTGGTTTTTAATCTAAGTTATATTACCCGCCTCTTTCTCCAGAGAAAATAAATGCTAGAAAATAAAAAATAAACTTATTCAATTGACGTGAATTGTAAATTATTAATTCCAAGCTATTGTGCATTTCATCAACTGATAGTTAAATTTAAATTGTAATTACATTTCATCGATTACTCGGCTGAACTTATCGGCAACCTTAATTTGATGATGAATTTTGCTTCCAAAATAGAAGGGTTTAACCTCAAAAGCATGTCAATAGAAACTTTTCTACAATCATTTTTATCGTAAAAAGTATTCGAGCATGTACTAGCGTAAAATTGCGATGGAGTTGACCTCGTAACTTTCGAAAGTAGACATTTTCTATAGGCTATTAATGATATCACTTAAATTAACTATTCCTTATTTACATATGATATTGATTGGAATTTATCACAGTACCTAAACAAAAGAACGTCTTAATGCCCATATGCGTATAGCATTTTAATGTGGTTGCCGAAGTTCGTCTTGGGATATTCAAATTTTATTGGGAATATTCAACTTTGTGTACCATCAAATCTTAAAATTTTTGTATGCATCTTATATGCCTAACTAATGAGTGATATGAAGATTGATGCGACCTCATGGTAATGAAACCTCTGCGGCCGTGCAAGGTTTCCCATCTTAAGTAGGTTCTGAAGATGAACAAAGTTTATGTTGTTCTGAATTTATTCGCGAATTAATAATAATAATTGTCTTAATTTCTTGAATAATAGAAAATCTACATCTATAATTCATAAAATGAATAATTATTAATAAATTCCCCCACAGGCAATGGCAAGAGAGCGCAATCGAAATTCGCGATGGGTGTAAGTCGTACGGCCGCGGTAAGAATAAAACGCAAGTTCTCAATCACATCGATTTGACCGTCCCAGTTGGAGCCATGTTAGTATCCTAGTAACTGAGCATAGCAGTATTTTATCGCAATTTGTTTAAAGCTTTTATGACATTTATTTGTTACATGTAAGATTTTTAGCTCATGTTGCACGGAAAATGAGAAAAGTTCAGGAGATATTGTTTCACTGATCCGAGTATCACGGTCGATAAAAGTCGTGGAATATAACAAGCTTCAATGTAATGATGACTATCTGTAATGGTGTTTATTAATCTTAATTCAAATTAAATTTAACACTCCAGTTTCAACCATGGTTGAATTAATATGTATTAATTCAACCATGAGTTTCAACATTTTTCCTCGAAGCTACGGCTTGCTTGGACCAAGCGGGTGCGGCAAGACGACGCTACTGAGCACGTTGGTGAACAGCCTGTCTCTGGACCACGGATCTGTGCTCATCTGCGGCTACAAACCCGGCACTGTTGAGGCCGCTGTTCCCGGACACAGAGTCGGCTTCATGCCTCAGGTGATGAATTCAGTTTCACTGCACAATCGCTGTCACAAAAGAAAAAACCTCTTAACTAATAAAATAAAAATATAATGTCGTGTTCCACGCAATGATTAATTAATTTTTTGTCTGTGTTATTTTGAAAAATTCTGAAACCGATCAAACGAAAAACTTTTTAATTTTCATTTTTTATTACACTAGTCAAAACGTAATAGCTTCTGGCTGCCACAAAAACTTGAATTATTTATTGCATCCCTCACTCATAATTTACCCTCTAAACAGGAGCTTGCTTTGATGCCAGCTTTAACAATCAATGAAACCCTTCAATACTTTGGACGAATTCATAGTTTGGGGAAAGAAAAAACTAAAGAACGATCAGAATTTCTACTCAAGTTCTTGGACCTCCCAAATGGTGTCAGATTGATATCCCAACTCAGGTAAGAGACTAGAATGCAACAACAATATTGCTTCTATTTGTATTTTTCAGTTTCTTTAATCAGTGTAATGCTGATTTTGCCATTGTTGCGTATATTTTTGTTATATACTGTCATAAGTTTTATGGGTTGCTGGTATAATGTAATGTATTTAGCCACATTCTTTATTTTTCTTATAATAAATACTTTAACATTTAATGAGTCATATACCGCTTTCTTCACCTGTCCCCTCTAACGCCCTCGAAGCTGTTTAGCTTACGTGGTGGTCATTCACTAGGAAACTTTTTGTTATTTCTCTGACCATGTTGTTCATTTTTTCAACCCTCACACATTTTTATGTGAATGGAAAAATAAATAATATTTGTTAATCGTCATCTAGAACTGGACGTTCTTTATGGTTCTTGGAAAACTATTGATAAATCATTTAAAATGAATGTGGAGCCTGATATTGTTTGAGTCTTTTTATCAGTAAAGTGTTGGTTGCTTTGTGAAGTTCTCACACCAGCTATAAAATCATATTCATGATTACGCATTAGTTAGTCAATATGTAGAGGAGAGGTCAACGTTAGGAGTATTTGAATCTGATTAAAAAGAATTTGTACTATTTTGGAAAGTTCAATGTTATAACCGGCTGCTCGAAAATATGATGATTTTTTCAATAACAGTATTTAATTTATGTGTTATAAGATAATTTATGATTTTTAGATTCACAAATTGCACTTATTTTTGTTCTATTAATTATGTGATGACCACATCACAGCGGAGGACAACAGAGGCGCGTGAGCTTCGCAGTGGCGCTGCTGCACGAGCCAGAGCTGCTTATCCTAGACGAGCCGACCGTCGGCGTCGACCCTCTGCTTAGGACCAAGTCAGTTCAACCTTGCTTAATGAATACACGATAAATTCATATCATGATACATCAATTTCAAGTTAAGAAAACTTGATAACCTACTAAATAAATAACAAAATTAAATTTTCGTTAAATCAATTGCTCATATGAGAAATTTAGTAGGAAAGTTACTTGATTAAAGATGTGCAAACTGCATGGGGGAGGAGTAAATGAGAATTGCAGTCCTTTGAAGTGTCGATTGCGGCAGTGCAAAGGCGCTCCGCAATTTCATTAAAATTGTGTATTTAGTCAAATATTGCTGCTCTCCATCTTCCGTTTTGAGGGTTTAAGAAATACACCATATTGACATATACTAATACACTATGAGACATTAGAGAGTGGATAGTGCAAAACTGAAAAAATTATTTGAGATTGGTGAAGTACAAGTATTGTACAGCAGTGTCAAAACAGTTCCAGAATTTCCAGCATAATCTTCACTTTGGTACGAAGTAACGACAATCGAACGGCCAATATATTTAATCTTTGGCCAATGTGAAACAAAAACTTTGATCTACGGTACAACAATAATTGCTCTGAGGTTATACACTATATTGTACACTATATAATATAATACACTAAAAAATACAACTTATTGACGATACTAATGAAAATCGAACTAATACATAAAGAACCTTAGAGCAATTGTTTTACTGTACTGCAAATTTTTTTCACATTCGCAAAGATTAAATATATATTGGACATTCAACGGTCGCTGCTTCTTAACCAAGTGAAGATTACGCGGGAAATTCTGGAACTGTTTTGATTCAACAGTACTCGTACTTCATCAATCTTATATTTGCGTTTTCAGACTTGCTATATTCACTCTCAAACGCCTCACAAAGTTTTGCAGGTGCGGCATTCGCGTCGCATTCCGCGATTAATTGTTCACAATAGCATTGGTAACACAGAGAAGCGCCCTACTATGAGAGCCTTCATCAAATATTTGTTAGGGTTAGATGGAAGCTTGAAGCTTGTCCAATGTATTCCAGGATAATATGACGGATTACATCGGCCACAAAGCTGTAGGCAAATATGTCGAGGTTTAAATACAAGAGGAAACTCTTCAGAAGTAGAATACTCATGAAGCTTGAAGAATCCTAATCGCAAATTATAAAAGATCTAGAATGTTAGTAATCCGATATGTATTATATGATATAAACGGAGCTATCAATTCAGATCTTGAAGAGCCTAGCATTTATTAAATTCCTTTCACGCCTCATGAAGATGTATAGAAAACAATTTCAAAATATTTTCTGTGTTTAACTAAATAATGTATCATAGCTAATAAATTAGAATATGCAATGAATCGGAAGGAATTCATAATTCTCATAATTCTACGTTGATTAAAGCGAACTTTGGCCGAATTTACTTCAAATTAAAACTTGCCGTTAACGCATTTAGTCACCTTCTTTATGTTAAATGTCGTTAATTTAATTAACAATTTTTCACGTGTTTTTTTTCCTACGAAAAAAAATCAGCAAAACTTCATTCTGCGTGACCACATTACTGTCCAATGTACAAACTGAAATAAATGTTATTATTATTATTGTTATTGTTATTATCATTATCATTATCATTATATATTATTATTCTTAATATTATTGTTATTACTAACAGTATTATTATTGTTACTACTACTGTTACAAAAATTATATTACTTTTTTTGCGTTCACAGCATTTGGGAACATCTTAACAAAGTTTCGCGCACCACAAATGCCACCATCATCATCACTACGCACTACATCGAAGAGGCTCGTCAGGCTACTAGAGTAAGTCCGTGTTTTTAACGCATTTTTTCATTTGTGAAAAAATGCACTATTGTGCATTGTGTCCGTCTGTCCGTCCGTCTGTCTGTCTGTCCGTCTGTCTGTTTGTCCGTGACTTCACGTTTTCGTCGACGAGAAAGTGCGCTCTCTGTCACTCACTGCAGTGAGTACTGAGTTATATTTTTTATGTTAAGTAACAAGTTTAAGTCCAGCTTTGCTGCCATAAGTTAGATATCGCTAAGATGTCGCATTGAGATGGGCAACGCAACTATGATCATTATCAAGAAGTTATATATTTTTTACATACTTCATAAATGAATCATGCAAGTACTTAAAATTGACAATATGTAGAAAGAGAGTTATTATTTTGAGATATTCCACAGTTAAATCCTCGAAAGTAAATTATATTATTGTTTTGGAAAGCTTCATCTCTGCATGATTTCGAACTTTGACCTGTCAATTATGTTCAAGATAGACAGAATCTTGATTGGATATAAGTATTAAAATCACTTGTTTGCTTGAATCGCAAATTAACCAGGAATTTAATAGCAAAACCAAAACCACAAAAAATCACCATATCTTTATAAGAGAAAACGTTTTCTCTTATAAAGATATGGTGAATTTTTGTGGTATTGTTTTTGCTTTTAAATTCTTAGACAAGATCTTTGAAAATAGCAAAAGTTTGCAACGGGGAAGCCATCTATGAGGCTCTCTTATACAATTCGATTCAATATCGCAACTAACTATACTATTCTACTAACACTGATGTGAATATATTAATTTATAATATTAATTCACTTATACCAAATTATTAGTTGATGGTTTTCTAATTCTAATGCATTGCGAATGATACTTTTTATATATCACAGTCTTTATTTCACTAGCTTAGTATTTACCGGTGAATGGCAAAATTTAGTATGATAAAGTTGATCTATACTAAATTACTCCTAATAGTTATAATTATTGATCTTTCATTAATTATTCCTTCATATTCTGATCTCAGGTTGGCCTGATGCGCCGTGGCCACCTGCTGGCCGAGGCGTCGCCGCAGAACCTCATGCAGCACTTCGCTAACCCTTCCTTAGAGGACGTCTTCCTCGAGCTGTGTCTCAGGGATGGAGACTTGGACCCGTCCGCTAAGGTGGGTCTCTATATTCATCCCAGAACCTCATGCAGCACTTCGCTAACCCTTCCTTAGAGGACGTCTTCCTCGAGCTGTGTCTCAGGGATGGCGACTTGGACCCGTCCGCTAAGGTGGGTCTCTATATTCATCAATTTACTAACGTTTCACGAAGGTTATAAGTAGAAATTTCAAGAAAAATAACTCAAATAAGATAATGGTGCCCGAATTAATGCGGAACTCAGAAGCAAAAAATCAAAAATACTCGCATACACGGGTAGAATTTATTAAAAATTTGAAGCAAAATAGACGGTTTAAAATGTTGCGATTCGGTATCATGACGAGAAAAGAAGTCAATAATTAAAATGTTTCTCCATTGAAAATAATTTCAAAGCCAATTCCTCTTAGCATCCAAAAAGTTACTGTCATGTAAGATGATGCATGTGCAACGATTTTTGGAGAATTTTTCAGAATTCAACTAAAAATTAAATAAATTAATACGTTGTTCTTGATGATTGCACAAATATAGAAATATTAGAATAAGGAGTCAATCTAGTAATTTCTCCGTTTCAACTCCTATATTGATTTCCAAAATTGATTCCTGAGCGTCATTATTCGCATCATTGTTCAAACTATTTACGCACAAATGATTAGTTAGCAATTAATGGTCTTATGACATAAATAAATACAATGATAAGGTAATTTACTAAGGTTCATTCATACATTAATTTATTATCAATGTTTATTATTTATTATTGTTGTTCCATTTGGGATCGTTGCGGATCACGAAGTCAGAATTATATGGCTTCTTAATACATTTCTTCAAATCAAATACCAAATGTAAATAATACAATTGTCCTTATTGTGAATATATATAGTTATTATTCTGAACCTAACATCAAAAATTATCATAATTATTCCTCTACATCGAAATGTTGATGTTTCAGCAAAATTCCGGCTTTGAAAAGGAAACTGACATTGAAATGCAGCCGTCCGACGCTGTGATGACCCGACGTCAGAGCCAAGCGAGCACGGCGCTCGTTGTGAGGCTCAACAGCAGCGGCCATCACTCTATGCTGCAGGAGCCAACGATCCTAAATCATATCAAGGTTAGAGTGTATTTTCAATTGAAGACAAATCAATTAATTGAAAATTATAAATGATTCCAAAGTAACTTGATGTCGACTGTTAGGAACACAGATTTCTTTGCTCATCAATTTCAGAGAAAGAAAAATGTCCATTAATTCCAACGTAACGCATGATATTTGAGGGGATAAATCCGATGACTAGCCTCTATTAACTAGTGACTTTCCTTTAAGTTTCCACAGGGTTGAAGGTAATGTTTATTCACAATCTATAGTTAAAAAACTTGCAGTGTTATAATATTTTCAAGAGCGATTTTTGTTTAATTATTTTAATTTAATTTATAATTTTATAAAATTAAATTACCTTAATTTTTTATTCGTAAATCGCGCCTACAGAAGCCATGGACCGCCACCTCCAAAAGAGAAAAGTTCTTGTCCGGCGCTAGAATATCCGCCCTCATCGTAAAGAACATCATCAATCTCACCAGGAATGTCATGTGAGCTCAGGGATAATATTTAAGCTTCTATTTATATGTGAGCTTCTCTTCCGAATGTGGGATAACATTTAAGGCTTTTCGACTCGTGTGTCGTAAAATAAAATCCTAAAAACATATTCAAATCATACATAATCGAAGATTTCTCTGGGTGCTGGTGCTAAAACCTCAAAAGTCAGACGTTAAAAGAGTGCATTCTTTTACATGATGTTTAAATATATATACGCTTTAAACGCATTTTCCTATAAATTTCCTGCAAAACAAACATCATGATTCATATAAATTAGTAACGTGAAATAGATTACAGAAGCGCATATGTTCTCATCAGGTTCCTCCTTCTGGCCTTTGCCTTGCCAGCGATTCAAACCGTCCTATTTTGCGTCACGATCGGAGGTACTCCCAAGAACCTACACGTCGCAGTCACCAATCTCGACAATGGCATTAATTTCGACAATGTCATTCCAAAGCTCAATTACAGCATAAATATAGCAGACGCCTACTTGAATGAGTTGAATGATGAGATCATCATTCAGGTAAATAGACAATAAATATGATTATATTTCAAAACCTTTACATGTACTTATTAAATATGATTAACGAATTTCGTGATTACTATTTGTTGTTTATAGGAGTTGAAATAATGCTAGTGTACATATATGAATATTTCGTTTAAACTGAATTCTGCTATAAAGAAAACATGGAGTTTTCAAATCTTCAGTTATTAAATATTGTTTATTACTCACTTGATAAATCTTTCGTGACACAAAATAAATTTACAAAACCCTTCTATGGCGAATAAGCTATACCCCAATCTCAAGCTCAGCCAGACTGAGGTACCAGGAGAAAGTCATACCAGTCAGACTGAGACTATAATTCGTTTGGTATTTACAAGGACGCTTTTGATACTTTTGACGCTGGATTCGGAGCTGTGGAAGACGGCGACGCGTGGGGCCTGCTTTACTTTCCCGAAAATTTCACGGTAGCTCAGATTTTCCCCGACGCCTATAATGTTTCTGAGAGACAAATTCACGTCTACATGGACAACACCAGTGAGTTTATTTGTTCATGATAAGTGAAAAAATTTTTGCTTCTGATTTTTTGATTTTACAAAGAATCATCACGAGGTGCTTGCATGTAATAGAAAGCTCAGTTAACTATAATTGCTGTTTTTCTCCTGGAATCTTGTTGTGACAAGATTATATTTATGCCCGTATCAATATGAAACTAATTCATTAATTAATGCTATTTATTTCAGATCAACAAATTTCGTACACGATCCTGCTTCAGTTTTTTGCCGCCCTTCAGCGACTTGTGGTTGACTTTGCGTCAAATAATTTCACGGATGTGAGCATCGTCAGTCCTTTGAAGGTAATTTACAACCGTCAAAAATATCTCATAATATTTCATTTTCTGATTAATGCTCAGGTGACCCAGTAACCACACTAACTGTGCTCTGAATAATTTCATGCGGCACAGACACTTTTACTTCACTTTTGTTCTCTATCTAGGGAGTGACGAGTAATCACTGACACGATAAGAAAAAATTCAAAGTTTTCCAAGATGGGGAAAGGGGAATAAGATATATGTAGAAGATAAGCATATAGAAGATAAAATCTTCTAAATCATATAGAAGATAATCATTTTTTCATCATAGTAAGGCAGGACCGTACGATGATGATGACTGTACTAATGAGAGATTTTATGCAGTCAAAACTAAAATGTAGAGTATCTATCAAATGATAAACGATCCAAATCTTTTGAGAGGTGATATCACTGATATGGTATAATTTTTCAGCGGTATATTTTAAATATTAATATTAATTTCTGCAAACTTTATTTCATATAATTCAATGGAAATTTGTAGCAATTAAAGTGTATCATTTTACAGGACCTATGTATATGGAATATAGATTGTAGATTATCACATTGCCTTTTCCCTATTTGTTGTTTACTTCTATTTTTTCTTCTCCATATGTCAAATTTATTTTATTGATGTCATAAAGATTGAGGATCCAGTCTACGGGAGCACCAACCCAACTTTCACCGAGTTCATGGCTCCTGGAGTAATCTTGACGTATGTATGGAGGAAATGCTCATTAAATTGATGTATTGCAATGACCGAATAAATTTTATTTGTGATTAAATAATGAAGTTACAAATACTATTATTGATGCATGAAACTCAAATCACTTTTCGCTTTTCTAACATGTTGAAATTTGTATTGAAAAATTTCCTTACAGATGTGCAATGTGACTATAAAAGCTTTTAGTGTTACAAAGACATTTATTAATGCAGTTTCTAGCAAACTTTACTTCCACATTAGAAATTATTCTTGCCTCAATTTGGTTTTGTTTTATTTATTTAGTCAATACATTTTATTCCAGAATTGTAATATTTGTTCTCAGGTTATCTTATTTCATGGCCATGTCTTTGACTTCTGTTGCCTTCGTTATTGAGAAAAAAGAAGGTCTTTATAACCGAGCACTTGTCGCAGGTAAGTTATTAGCGAGACGCCAGCGAGATTGTGTACAATAAATTTAAAAATTGTGAATTGACAAATCTTCCACGGGCCTATTTATTGAATAGTCATATAATATGAATATTTTATACTATTTTGTGGAATTTAGATAATTTTGCACACCTTTTAATGACAATATACCAATTGATAAAATATAATTCTCGAGTAATGAACTTTGCAATTTGTTCCCCGAAATTTATTGTGAAAATTGATCGAATTTTAGGATAATTGTTATTGCTGAAACACGAATACTAATGTTTTAACATAATTTTCTGTCTCGTGACAAGGCGTCAACAACCTGGAGATAATGTTAGCTCACCTGGTGACGCAACTCGCAGTACTCATCATCCAGGTCGCCATTATCTTGGTGTTCATGTTCGCTGTGTTTAACATCCCGTGTGAAGGAAGTATGTCCCTAGTGATCCTGCTGTCTCTGCTGCAGGGTCTCTGTGGCATGACGTTCGGTGAGTCGTAGCAACTTCATATTGGTTCATGAATAGTTTAGTTTCTAGTTCAGGTTAAATATTTTTTCGATAAAATATATTTCACGTTGAGAATTTTTGTAAATTCATGATGAGTTGCAGCATTTTTAAGAAACGTGTGTCAGTTATTGAACTTATATGGCCCACAAATTCGTCTAATTGAGGATTACAATTTAGTGCGACGTTCAATATTCGTGAGCTTATCAAATTAGATTGAACTCACCACAATACATTAATTTTATCCCCAGGTTACTTCATTTCGGTGTCGGTAGAGGACGAAATGACAGCATTCCAAGCAGCAATGGGCGTATTCTATCCCATTCTGCTACTCTCTGGAATAGTTTGGCCAGTTCAAGGCATGCCGATCGGACTACAGTACATTTCGTACGCCTTGCCTCAAACGTACGCATGCGACAGCATCAGAGCGATCCTCTACAGAGGCTGGAACCTTACTTACTTTGATGTGTACTTCGGGTTTATCGTCACCATCATCTGGATGGCTATTCACGTCAGTGGAGCTGCGCTAGTTTTGACGATAAAGCATTAGATAAATGCTTTTCAATTTTTTAGAGTATTTTCTTCTTGAAACCATATTTTATATTTGTATAATAAATGCGATGTTTATATTTGGATATATGCATTACATGCCTAGAATTATGGTTATAAATGCTCTGAAGAGCACAATTTTTCCTTGATCAACAAAATTTGGAAATATTTTTCAAATTTAAAACCCAAAGCCCCATTCTCTGCATGCTATTTTTTTAAGTGATTCAATTTCGCATCTCATCGCATCTCATCACACTCAATATAAGCTTGTTATTGAGTAAGATATTGAATATGAAAAATCCCCAATTTAATATATGTTTGTTCAATTACCCCTCACATGGGATTTATTTACATACATAATTTTAAGCTACCATGTTGAATTTATTATGTTGAATGGTATACTCTATGAATGAACAGTTTATTTATTCTTACTGTCATTTTTCTCATTTCCATACTTCAAAATTTTGATACTCAACAATAGGTAATTCATATTCAGCTTTTAAAAGATTATAGTTTTATCTTCGATCACTCCTTATCATGGGCTGATTTAAAAATATGTGGCGTTACTTGTCATTCAATTCCTTGAGGTATCAAAGGAAATCACAAAGTCAATTCCTCGCTGATGATGAGAGTATTAAGAGGTTAACATCGACTAAAGTCAGGAAAGCGTTCTGAATCTACTCTGGAACGGCGGTGAAATGAACTGAAAACGTTTGTCTCAGGTCCGTAGACATTGATTGAAAATTGTAAAATAATTCTTTCTGCTGAGTTGCAGGGATGTAAAAATGATTTGAATCTGTTTTATGGAAAGCTGTAATAAGAAGAGTATAATCAAGATGGATTTAATGCTAAAAATACGAGCTCCAAGTTAATATCATCTTACGTGCAAATGTATCATCAAATCAACAAAGAAACACAAGAAAAAAATGAACAAAAATTTATATCATAACACAATTTAGATTTTTCAAAATTAAATAATAAAAAAAAACATCATTATCAATTATGTCCAGAACACACACAATTATCCCAGGTATATATTTTGACAACCTTGAAATTCTTAAGCCACAGTGACTTGTAGGAGTGAAATGGCATGGTCTGCTGCAGCATCTGAGCCGCTCACAGCCCTATGATCAAGGAGGTGTAACTGAGTGACGTCTGGTTCTGATCCTTCACAACATACAAGGCAATAATTTGCTGGACACGCCACTCAAATCATCTGCCTGATAAACCAGAGGCTGATGGCAATGACTATATACTTCAGGCGTCTGGGCTAATGTTCCTAGGCGACGTTCTCTACACACTTTGGTGTCAGAAGACACTCGCTAAATGACACGAACATTAATGTAGAAAATCTAATAACAAAAAATTATATTCTTTGTGATCAAGGTTTGGCCCAGATAAAAAAACGATGAAGTTGATCATGTTTTCATTTAGCAGTGGATTATTGTACCCAGTTTATAGTAGATGAGCTAACGTGATTAGTATCAAGTTTTCTTCTTTCGTTTCTGGCTAATGCATGAATAATAATTACTTATTCTGCTTAATTTCAGTTAGAACAACGTGAGGAATCCTTGTTGTTGATAAAACAACAAATTGTGATTATCACGCAGTCAACATGCACTTCGTTGTTTCCCTCGTTTTGTTTACAGTTCAATATCTAAAATTAAAAACGGTCAAGAAATAGCTGCTTCATATTTCTTTGCGAACTGAAGAATGTTAAAAATAGCAAAAACCTACCCCTAAAACCTTTCCAATAGCTTCAAATTGCGAGGGCGCTTCCTCATTTTTGATAGCAAAGAGGTTGCATGAATCCGTAGATGTCATGCAATCGGCGGTCAAAAACCCAAAAGCCTCTTCAACATTTTCAAGAGTTTATTTAAGTAACCATAGCTGAAAAATGTTGACATAAGTTAAAGCTGAACATGTTGGATCTTTTATCAGCTTAATACTAAAAACAAATCACCAATAATCACTCCAATTGTGTTTACTTATAAGACATGGAATGTATTTTAAAAAGTTTAGGCGCATATGACGAAAAGTCTATGGATATGCAAAGTTTCTGTGCCGATGGACTAGCCTGGAACGTGAGAACGAAGTGGGAGCTCCACACACCCACGGACCTTGATCGAGCGGCGTGGCCGATCGAGCCTGTCGAAGCTGCCCTCTTGCGGACAATAATTGACTGAACAAGATGGTGGCTGCAAGAATCGAACCATCATTAGGGTATCCTCTTTCACAGCTAGTTAAAGACTAGCTTGTACACAGAACGAAACATTTCCGGGATGTACCAATGCCGAGCATAGTGATGATTTATGGATTATGTCGAAGTTTCCTGTATGAGACACGGTGGAATGTAGAACTCTTTATTTAAGCGCCGTCTTGGTAGCTGTCATTGAAAACGTCGAGTAAGCTGACCGTCTCAATAGCGGCTTGATGAAACATTCAATAGGTCGGCAAAGAAGAGCTCAAAGATGAGGGCCTCGATCTAACACCAGTCCTTCGACGCACTTAATTCTCCTGATATATGCGAAGTCAGTTTATGAGGATTTATCGCCTCCTTAATAAATACGAATCTCACTAGGCGTAAGACTCAAATTCGATTGAGTCATTACATTCTAACTGGCAGTCAGAAAAGGTAGAGAAGACCACAAACTGGTCTTCTGCAGCGACTCCAGCACTGCATTTCTAAAGCTATGGTGAGATAATTCACGCCGGCTCTGCAATTACATTCGAGACTCGACGCGATGCCATTTCTAGATTATTCGCATTGAAGTCAATCATGCATGCAAAATGCACGATATTTCCAGCAAATCATCGTTGACTGGCATTTATACGCAGGTTATGCGCTAAAATTACGTGATTTCTTCCTCGTGCAGTCTGCATGTGCGAATTTGTCTGTCGAATTCTATGACCGCTCAAATTAAAGGACGTTGATCTCTGCATATAGGCAAAAAATGCACGTATTAGAGCTCCTGTATATATAAAATAAAGATTCTCTCGTTAAAAATTTGGTGAAGTTAGTTCGCTGCAAATGTATGACACTTTGTATACCATTTCCAAGCATTTAATTCCATTTAAAAAAAAATTGTCTCTTCGGGCCGGGGAACGTTTTAACCATGTCACAGAATTATTTACTGTTTGCGCGCAGTATTAAATCATTTAAATCTGCCGTTTTAATATGAGTTGAAGATCTTTACAGCAAAACAGTTATTATTGAATTGCTCCTTAAAATTCCGTAATTTATTCAGAAATGTTTTTCATGCTTTAAATAGATCGTCATGCCACAAAAATCCAAAAAATTATAGACCTTGCCCCTACTATTATTAACTATTAACTATTAATAGTTTCTTAACTTGAACATGGCTACTTTTGACACTGCGAGCATTTTATATTCTTGATGATATGCAACAGAATAAATTGCTTAATTGGTTAAATGAATGCTGCATTTGAATATTCTCATATTTTCTATATTCATGTATCTGCTGATTTCGTATTCTAAGTCACTCATTTTGTGACGTTCATGATAACAACTGTGTGTGACCAGTCATTTTCGAATGATAAAATGTTGTGTCGTTTTGGTCTTCTCAGTGTAACTGTCAATATGTCGGTCTTTCTCTAACCAACACTAAATAAAAACTCATTAACTAGTGCTGCAAAATTAGTGCCATAATAATGTTTCAGTCAAAAGAGGCGATAGCATAACGGTGTCCGCTCTAATGAATTTTCAGTAAATCAGTCAGTTCAACAGAATCGAAATTAAGAAAAGAAAATCTTTAGGATTCGTAAACGCGTTTCAGTACGTCCTTTACAAAGATTCGTTAACTGTAGACGTAACGAGTTCAATTTGTGCAACCGAACTGCGCACCCAATTGTTCAACAACGAAAAGAGTGAACTCTACGAGCTCACCGAATCCCATGTTCTCTCCGCGTTATTATGATCAATTGAGTATATAAGGACGAAATTTAAAATCCAAGAGAGAGCATTTCACTGCATGCAACTCTGACCCATATAAATAAAATCAATGTTGAGGTACCAGCAGCCGGTAATACTTCATCCAGTGATCACAGATATCACAGCAAGGCAAACACGTACGTACTGCACTTTTACGTGCGGCAAAGACGCTGATCTCTGGGCGTGAAGACGAGATCGAGGAGCGCTCACTATTTTGTGTATCGCGTGAGATGCTGCCGTGGCGCGCCGAGAGAGACAGAGACTGAGGTGCGAGAGATCAGGGCGCTGGATATTTTGTGTATCACGTAAGATGCTGCCATGTCGCGCCGAGAGAGACAGAGACTGAGGTGCGAGAGATCAGAGCGCTGGATATTTTGTGTATCGCGTAAGATGCTGTCGTGGCGCGCCGAGAGAGACAGATACTGAGGTCCGAGAGATCAGAGCACTGGATATTTTGTGTATCGCGTAAGATGCTGTCGTGGCGCGCCGAGAGAGACAGAGACCGAGGTGCGCAAGATCGAGCAGCGCGGCGAGGGTGTGTGGCGCGTCTTGAGATGCCCACACAGAGCCGCTGCCGCGCTGTGTGGCGATCGCCCAGCCTCCAAGCAGCTTGCCTGGATCGCTGCCCCGCGCGTTCACGCTCAGTACAAAATCTAGCAAAACCAAAGCACAAGCCAACGAACTGAAGAGATCATAAAATTAATTAGCCACTTCTGTGACACTAACTCTATAAGTTGATGAGAGTTCGTTATAAATTCTGAAAAGAAAAAATGAATACCGAAAGAAATTACTGATACATGCGATTTTGTGTTCGTCAATGTCAATTAGTTATTCAGGAATAATCGAAAAAAATTAATATTGCGGTCGCAATAAACACAATATTTGGTCTCTTATCGCCGTCCAGATCAGATTGCAACCAAACTATGCTTAGCATAAGAATGGTTACGTACATGACTGATCGTACAAAAATCATCTTTATTATATTGATGATCCGTATATATGATGCTGCTTGGCACGTGTAATATGTACACCATAAAATTTCCCCCAGGTACCTTTCAGCGTAAAATTTAATAATTGTAATTCTTAATACGACATTGCAAATATATAAAACAAGTTTTAGCATTCTTAAAACCAAACAGAAAGGTTGATTAAGCGATAAGAAATTTTACAAGCAAAACTTGTAACTTTTTGTTGCGTATGAAGGAAATTTTTATTTCCTGAATTCAAAAGTAAAAAATCTGCAAACATTAATAACGCGAATTATTTATTTCTCAAATCACAGGTCCGCACGAACACTTCTCCCAGACTCATTTGGCTTGGGTATTCTAGATGCATATATGTTTGGTCATTCCACTCGAGCAGAAGCGAATTTTCAGTCCTCTATCCATATTATTCAAGTGCTGTCAAGCTTGTTCTATAGAAGTCATGTTCTTACTAAATACCGATGTTACTTGTAT